CCACTTACGAAGATTACGTGAATATCATTCCTTCAAAACACTAGGTTTCCTTGATGATCAGACACTTGTCCCAAAGACGCTGTTGTCAGCCTCGCCCTTTCTGGTGCTGCTGTTTTAGAAGTCCCTCAAAGCCAGTTCATAGACATTGAAAGAAATTAGACTCTCCAGTTCAATCGCATTTACTGTTTCCCACCACAGGTGGCAGCACTCCTCTCTTCAAGGTATTCGCTTCCTCAGAGTTGACCACAAACAACTTGAGTTTGTTTGTTTGTTTGTTTGTTTGTTTTTAAATAAGCCTACTTTGAATGGGAAGGAATTGTCTCTTCATAATGTTCAGAAGAAATTTCTGGAACTTTTTAGGTTGTCTCCAAATGGGGAGTTCAAAAACTGTTCTAAATCCAATAGCACTGTTAAGCCTGTGACTTTAGAGGCATCTGTTGTCCTAGACAGACAGGCAAAGGAGTTAAATGCAATAGAGTTAGGGTAGGATGTTAGTTTTGTGTCCAAAAGTCTAGAGTCAGAGTAAGTGGGCTACGGTTCTTCCTTTAGCACTACTAGCTGCATAATTTTGAACAAGCTGCTTAATCTCTCCATGTTTTTGTTTTTGTTTGGTAATGGGTATAATAATGAAATATGCAGAAGATTCTAGTTGGTGTCTGATACAGGGCACATGCTGTTTCAAGAGCTATACTGAGTTCTATTGTTCATATACTATATTAAGTACTCTACTACAAAGTAAGTTAATTTTAGTTAAGTAATGATCACATATTTCGCTTAATATTACCTTTAGTTACAAACAAATCAGACAGGGTCCACTATAAGGCAGATACATATTCCTAAGGTTGTCGTCATCAATAGTAGTGTTATGTAGGAAAAGTAATTTTCAGTGGTCATTAATATCAGAATGAAAATTGCATGGCTAGGGAGATGGCTCAGTGGGTAAACATGCTTGCCCAGCACACCTGAGTTTGATCCCAGACCCCGTGGTAGACGGGAAGAGTCAGCTCCTGAAAGCTGTTCTCTGACCTCCACATGCACATCACAGTACATATATAGCTGCATAGATACACATTAATAACATAATAACTGATAATGTGGTGAGCCTGTAGATTTTTATGCCTAGATGTTTCACTTCATGTTACATCCTGGAAACACATACTGAAGTGGAGATGCCAAACAGATCATCAAAACAGTAATAGCTTCTTGAAACGTCTGTGGCACCTGGAGAAAGGTCTTCAGTGTGCCTCTGTACCCTGACTGCAGAGCAGGATCGTAATCCTGAGGCAGCATGGCCTTCCTCAGGAATGTCTGGCTGTTGAGAAGTCTTGTTTGGTAAGATTTCTTTTTACTTTTTATTTATGGGTGTATGGTTGCCAGACACTTGAGACGTCTTCCTGGAATTCCCAATCCTTGTCTTTTTCTCATGGAACCCAGTGGCACGGGTCCTAATTCTTTGGAATCACCTGCCTCCAGAGCATTCTGTTTTCATGAGAAACAGTCTCAGTTCTCGTTTCACTTTCCTCACTTCTGTCAAAAGCAGCTCAAGGAAGAAAGCATTTATTTCCGACTCATTGATTGAGGTCGCTGTCTGTGGTGGTGGGAAGGCATGGTGGCAGGAGAATAAAGCAACTCATCATTTCGTTTATGGTCAGGAAGCAGAGAGAAAGAAATGTTGGTGGCACTCAGCTTTTTTTTTCTTTTATTCTTTCTTTAAAAGTATTTTTATTTACGCATGTGTGTTGTAAATTAAACCTTCCTTGTTCTAGAATGAAAAACGATGCTGTCCTTGAAGATTTGTAAATCTCAAATTAGAGAAAATTCAGATAATATGCTCCTGCTGAGATGGAAGTTTTGAAACCTAATGGCAAATACCAGTAAAAGAAAGGTAAATATTGTGATTATAAGTAAACCTACATGAAATCTTCACATAAAGTTGTTAAATGCTTCAATTCTGGTAATTTTTTCATTTGTTTTTCTGGCTGATGGTGGCTGTCACTAAAGAGGGTAACTGGCCTTCTGGACTTAATTCCCACAACAGGGACTAACTTGTCTGTTGTAAATAAAATTTGTATTGGGCTATACATTGTTTATTATTACTTGTATAATTATTGCGGCGGCATTATTTAACCTGCTATTACAATTAATAAGACAGACACCTGTTAAATTTTATAATTGCCTTATTTACTTTAGGCTGGGCAGATATTTTACCTACATTTTCTCAGTAACCTCAACATCCACCTCCCAGCCCCCATCCAATGCCATCCACATTAATCATACTTATCCGGGCTACCTTCCATCCATAATCTTATAAATGCTTGTATTCTTCATCTGGGCCTTTCCAAACCGTTATTGGAGTCCTTCTTCCCGGCCCACATGGTTCCTTCTCCATGCTAACCAATCGTGACATCCTCCTTCCTCCTCATTTCCTGTCTGTTCATCCATATCCCATGTTTCTCCTGTTCCCAAAGCCCAGAACCTTAGCCACGCCTACCCCATTCAGCCCAGCCCAGGTTTTAGGCCTTTTAATCAACCAATTAGGAATGTCTTAGGCAGGTTTACATAACAAGGTTACTGTATCCTGCCAGTAACCAGATCCTGAGGGCCAGTAATTAGCATCAAAATACAAACAATCAAACCAACCCCCAACACATGTTAAAGTCACAGTACTACCTGAAGATTGCCATAAGAAAGGCTTTGATGAAGGAGCTGGAAGAAAGAAGGAGCACTCACCCAGGCTGCAGACACCAACACTTGACGTTCAGAGCCTCCAAGAGGACCATTGTAGTGGGCACAAGTGCAACAATCTGAGTAGTATGACATACTCGTGTCACAGTGAACTAGCTTACTGGGATTTGAAAAGTGAAAGAGTATTTATATCCCAGAGACTCTAACATTAACTACGTATCACAAGAGAACAAAGCCAAGTGCTGTAAGAATTAGCAGATAGTAGCTGGTAGCCGAAAACTAATAACACATGCACATTTTAGTAGCTAAAATTGCCATTGCTATTTCTAAGAATGAGTAGCTTAAAACGTATTTGTACATGTGTGGTTTGTGTGTATGCATACATGGGAAGAACAGGATGTTTAGAGTAACCGCCTCTATTTCTATCATACTTATTTGAGACAGGCTCATTCACTTGCCAATTGGCTGCACTGGTCAGCCAGCAAGCTTGTGATATGCCTCTTCCATCTCTTCCCCAACTCCTAGCACTGGAGCTAAAGAGGCATCCTTAGTTTTTTTCTTAGGAGGGTTCTGCGGATGCAGACTCGAGTCCTCATGATTGAGCAGCTTACCCAATAATCCATGTCCTCAGCCCTTAGGTATGTTTAATAGCATCAGTCCTCAGATATGTCTTTGAAACAACTAAGATTGTAAATTGTGTTTGTAAATATTCATTTAAACGGAACGTGTTGGTGAACACATGTGGTCCCCAGCTCTAGGATGGCTGAGACACAAGTCTGAGGCTAGACTGGGACACAGAGGAACCTTGTCTCAACAAGCCCAGGGGTTTGTGGCTCAGCTGGTACAGGGCTCACCTAGCATGAGGAAGGCCCCGGGTTCCATCCCCGCGCTCTATAAACTGGTGTGATACTCCTATAATCCCAGCTCTTGGGAGGTAGAGGCAGGAAAATTAGGAATTCAAGGACATCTTTGGCTACATATTGAGTATGGGACCAGTCAGGGACAAAAAGAACTCATCCTAACAAAGGGACTAGTTGCTTAGGCCACAAATTACATTTTTATCCTGTGCTAGGTCTGCATATCCTCTCTCCATACCCCTCAGTAGATAATTTAGACTCATTAAGAAGAAAACACATGGGCACACAATAAAGCAGGAAAACAGTCACCATTGCAGCTAACCCCCTCCAAAGGCAGGCCTATATACATTTCCTTGCACAAAGGCCTTACAATTGCTATACAATCAATCTAGTACTGAGCTAAAGCTCCAGTTATGTGTGTATACAACATGTATGCTTATGTGGATGTGTGTACCAGCATACATACATGTGTTTAAATAGGTGCCCGTCCCTGTTTTTGAGGAGGGGTCTCACTATGCAGTCCTGGCTGGCCTGGAACTCATATATAAACCAGACTATCCTTCAACTCACAGATGCACCAGCATCTGCCTCCCTAGCGATGGAGTTAAAGGCACGTGCCATCACACACAGCCCATATACTGAGACAGGGTTTCTCACTGACTCTAGGACTGGAGAGCTAAGGCTAAAGCTGGATAGCCAAGGAGCTCTAGAAATCTCTGTCTAATCTGCTCTCCCGTCTCTAAGCTTTGGGAATAGCCCGGGACTTTACAGGAATGGTGGGGAGCCAAACTCAGGTTTCCACGTTTGCACAGCAGGCGCTCTGCCAAGTGTGCTATGTCCCCAACACCCTTTCCGTTTTTGAGACAGGTCTCATTCTGTAGTCTCCAGATGAGCTGGGGCACTGTAAGCCTAGGCTGGTTTTACACATTCCCCCCCAAGTGCTGGAGTTAGAGCGTGTGTCAACACACTCAACAAACTCCACCTATCTTTTTAAAGAGCAAGCAAGGCTTTCTTGAGTATCTGCCCTCAACTTAAATAGTTCTTAAGTAGCCACATTATTATCCTTCAGACCGGAATCCACTTAAGTGAAAAGCAATTGCTTGAATGACCTCCTGGCAAACTCACCATGCTCCTACACAGACTTGAAATAAAGGAATTACCCGTGTGTGCATGTTATTTAAAAATCATTAAAATGACCAGAGGACCACAGTTTTGTTTGACCGAAGGAGTTTTCCTGTGTTCAGTTTAATAAATGGCAAGCAGCGAGGGCACTCCAGACTCAAAGACCTTTAATCGAGGTTTGCTCTTGAGAATTAAACAGCAGATCTCACATAGTATCTTTAAAATCTATAATTGATCTAGAGGCTTGTAAGACTACCAAGACAAAGGAGGCAGGAAGAGGAGCAGCTGTCCTGTTACACTTTCACAAAAGCAGAGGCGCAGATCCCCGCCAGTCCTTTAATAAAGGTTGGTCTTTTTCATGATCTTAAGAAACTCTTCCTCGTTCACTTCTCCGTCGCCGTCACGGTCAGCTTCATCGATCATTTCCTGCAGCTCCTCATCTGTGAGGCTTTCCCCCAGCTCGTTGGCCACACGCTTGAGGTTTTTGAACGAGATTTTCCCGGTTTCGTCATCATCAAACAACCTGAAAGCCTTCAAGATTTCTTCTTTGGTATCCTTCTCCGCCATCTTCTGAGTCATCACAGCCAAGAAGTCGTTGAAGCTGATCTTTCCCGTGGCCTCTTTGTCCACTTCTGAAATCATTTTCTTCATCTCTTCCTTCCGGGGTTCGAAGCCCAGCGCCCTCATGGCCACCTTCAGCTCCTTCACGTCAATGGTCCCGCTCCCGTCAGAATCGAAGAGGTCAAAGGCTTCCCGAACTTCTTGCTTTTGGTCTTCGGTGAGTTCAGGCCTAGGACCCACCTTTCTCTTGTAACTGGTGGAGGCCAAGTTTAACTTCCTGAGGTTGGACGCCATCTTCCACCGCAGTTGGGTCCTTAACGGTGCCCTGACACCGCGCGTGACGCGCCCCTGCGCCTGCGCCTGCGCCAGGTCCAATGGGCCTCCTGCCAAGCCAGATCTTTTTTTTTTTTTTTTTGCAACACAACGAATTGCCTTCATTTCAGGATGCATCCACATTTTCAACGTTTAGTGGTCTTGAACAGAGTGGGGAACGTGGCCTCACCCGGGGCCCTGCTGAGGGTCAGAGGAGCAACGCTGAAACCTGAGTCCGCAGGGTCAGGGCCGCTGTTCCAGCTGTCAGGCTCCACATCAGACCCGACGGGGGCCAGGGTGATCCGAGAGCCCTGTTCAAACCCCTTCAATGCGTAAAGCAAAGCGATTCTGGGCAAAGGAACGGATGCAGACCGCGTGCACCCAGGACCCCGCACGGCCCTTCTCTAGGCGGAACAGCCAATGACCCTGATTTATTCCAGGCACCCAGAACAGTACTTGACACATTGAAGGGATACTGATATCCATTGATTTAATGCTGGACAATTAATGTTGATACTTAAAATACCTTCTAAGTATTCAGATGAAAGGAGGTGACTCAAAAGATCCAGTAATTCTAAGAGTATTTCACGAAACTGTTTTTTTTTTAAAAAAAAAAAAAAAACAACAACAACAAAACAAAAAAAACAAACAGTTGTTCAATACTGATTATATGGAGTGTTTGGAAAATTTGTTTAGTTATTTGATTTCCTGGAATCAAATCTAGAACTTCACCCATGCTGTGAAAGTACTCTCCTGTGAACCTCAACCAACCTCTTAACTACCTGCCCCAGTGACAGTGGACACAGGTTTCAGGCATAGGGTTTTGGAAGGCAAGAGAAGCTTACCTGGTCCTTCCCTCTTTGGTTTCCTGCACATATTGCATCTTCTTCCAACTCTACATCTTATCTTTATGACATCCTCCTCTCTCATTTGAAGTACCCATACTAAAATTCTCTAATGCATTTTTAAATTAAAAAACACCCAAAACTCCCGGGACAATTCTCTGATGGGACCATACAGGACTGGATAATAACCAGTCAGGCCTCAGTTCCTCCCAGACTTGCATTTCCTTCAACAGCCACCCCTCTGACTAACTTAAGCTAAGCTATGATGTGTTGAGGAAAACTAAAGGCTAAAAGCTGCCATATAGAGAGCAAACTGGCTGCCATGGTTTCCAGATATGTGCAATCAGCAATCACAACAAAGGGCAACTAAGAGCTCTCCTCATAGAAAACAGTGCCCTCAATGTCAGTTCTTGATGAACAGTCTATGTTCATAGTCTCAACCCTGTCTTGAAAAGGAGACATTAATTATGTGCCTAGTCTTGGGTCTGGGCCTCCCATTTGTTACCTCATTTGAACCTTGCATTCATTTCCCATCTTGCAGATGGAAAAAAAAAAAAAAAAAAGGAAGGCATAGAAGAGATCTGTAATGCATACTTAGTAGTATACAGCCAGTAAATGTATTTTGAGGTTATGTCTTGGCCTTGTGTGTGTGTGTCTGTGTGCTCAGGAATGTCCTAGGTAATACGTTGTGGATTCTCTGAGAGGAGGAAAGGAGATGATTGTTTAAATCTAACCATGGATATTTAAGAGATGATTTAAATTTAAATCTTAAATTTAAAATTTAAGAGAAAAGAACCATTAGATTTCAACCTCGGCGTCTAAAGTCAATTGAGACCAAGTTCAAGGAGGCACGCATCCTGTTCCCCTTGACTATTTGGCTTCTGGTGGATTTGCATGGCATGAGAAAACTTAAGTTACTCTCAGCAGATTGAGTGAGTCCCAGTGCCACCTGAGGCGGAAGACATAGGCAGTGAAGTGCCTAGGGTTTCCCGCTCACTTTCATATAAGCACAGGCTGGAGCTGCTCCAAAAACAAGCGGAATGACTGTTCTGGGTCCCTGAGGATGCACTCTGAAATCAGCAGTGCCAAACTAAACTGTGTGGAGCTATTCACAAGAAACTGACCCAGCAGCAAGTCTTTACAGTCCCAGTGGTGTCTTGAAAGAGACTGAAGTCAAGTCCAGTGACTCAACCTCAGTCCTTTTGGCAAGCTCAGGGACAGAATTTAGTGTCCAGCCAAGGGCTGCATGAGTTCTCCTTCTGTGAACCCCAGGAATAAAGAAGAACTCCTGTCAAATACAAAACCAGACTGTATTTCATAAAAAGAATTTGCCAGAGTTTCACAGTTCCTTTAGCTTTCACCCAAATATTCCCAAAGCAAAAGAGATCATTAGGACAATCAGTTCCCTGGGAACCAGGGAAGAGGTAGAAGAAGCCTGCAGAAGCATGAAATGTTTTTTCGAGTACTCTGTTTTGTTTTGTTTTTTCAAAACCATAATTTACTCTGTAATTCACAGAATGTGTTGCTGGCTCTATTGTGACTTCCTTCAGCTCCACTTTCAATACTGGAGTCCGTGGTGTTCTTCTGCAGAAGGTTGAAGTCGTAGTCTCTGAATAGCCAATTATTTGCTCTTTTAGCAAGAGGTTACCTGTGGCAATGGAAGCTTGGGCATTTCAAAGCCTATGGAGATACCAAAGTGTTACAAGCTGGTCAAGCTGCTGTGCTGAGCACAGCAGAGGTTTGAGCCAAGGCCCATACCTGGTTGGCTTGCAGCCAAAACACAATCCCCATGAGGCCCAGGTTCAGTGAGGCCCAGGCCTAGCAGGTATCTTGAATGGGACTATGAAACAAGTCATAGGCAGGCCCTATGAAATGAGACCCAGTGGAATATAAATGACAAATCTCAGATGGTCTTGAAGTGAGAAGGCACTGACCAGTGTATCTTTATTCATGTGAAATCAAGGGCAATATAAACCCTGGGCAGAGGGAGGGATTTCGAGAATGAATGTGTCTGATTCCCTGAGGGCTGAGGTCAGGGGATCAGGATACTTAATGGTCCGATCACAAGTAGGAAAATACAGTACTTAATTATCCTATGGGGTTGGGGGAGATCTCCAAGAACAATTGAAGGTCCCTGCTGCACTAAGATCTTTAGCAAGGTGGGGCATTTCTAGGAATTCCTAGATGCTTGCTAGAGCAGTTTCCTTATCAGGAAAGGGTCTGGCCTGTCAGCTGTCCTGAGGGCTATGTGACACACTTTATAAGACCTGGGGTCACCAGGTCAGGGGCTACACTTAAAACCTTGCTGAGTAAAGGTAGTCTATCATCATAGACTGAGCACAAATAATTGGCTGTACCCGCCTGCGGGACTAGTAATTCGTGAGGTCTCCAAAGAGAACCATGCCTGAAAGAAAAACGGGTGAGAGAGAAGAACGGACTCAAGCAAAAGTGCACTTGTCAAGAGTCAAATTTTATTGAACTGGAGCAGGCTTTTAAGGCCAACCTTAGATAGGGGCGGGGCAAGGGAGGAGTACATTGTAGAACACTCAGGGAGGGATAGGTTGGAAAGTCTTACTCTAGAGTTTCTAAACTCAGGGAGGGCAGGGTGGAAGTTACAGAATCTTCTTGGTCCGGGGCCCGGAACACTTTGCAGTTATCTCGGGAAGTCATGGTACAGTTAGCACCTTTCTGCAACTGTCAAGCAGGATGTTGGTCAACCAGGTGCAGCAGGGTGGGGGGAATGAGAAAAGGTCAGAAATTTCTTAGGGCTTGTCTCCAACAACTGGCTATCAGAGATGACTGACTTCACTGTTCCCCGATCCTCAGAAGTCCTCAGATGAGTACTCTACCACCCCCTACCTTTATTATGATTTTAAGTAACTCATTTTTGAGTAAACTTAATTCCCTCACAAAAACCACGTATCTACAATACACATCCCTCCCCTGAAACAAACCAACAACTGAAGGAACTGAGGATGGCAGGGGTGGCTCCATTTTGCTTCTCAGACTCTATCTTAAGTTGACCTTGGAGTGACTTGACCCCCACCTTTGGGTTCCAAGAAGGGCCACATGGCCCTCCACCCTGCAGGTTGTCGTGGATACCACAGAATGTGTAGATAACTATAATCAGGCCTCCACCCCACAGGTTCTCATAAGTACCACAGAACGTGTTAGTGGATCCTCCACTCCACCCAGCAGGCTATCGTCTAGATATCTTAGACATCTGTCGATTTGGCTAGGTGGCTTGGAACAATTAGTCTAAAGGTCATCTCTGTTGCTGAAGCCCTCCACCCAAAACTTACCCTTCTCTGTAACTCTAAGGCTTGGAATTCCCTGCTTGCCATTTTTCCCTTTAAAAACTCTTCCTCCCTGAGCCTCGGGCCTCACTTTCTAACCTGCTGCATCAGGGAAGATTGGCAGCCTGAGCTTAAGCTTGAATAAAGATCCTTGTGTGATTTGCAATGGACTTTGAAAGATCCCCGGAGGGTATCTTCCGTCAGAGAGACCCCCTCCCAAAGAACAACGAGTCCATTCGGATGCAAACAGCAAGAGGCTTTTATTTGATACACGAGTACTAGGGGCAGCAAGGTCACTCGGGAGGACCTTGCACGCCTCCTTGGGGAAAAACTGGGGTTTTTATAGGGTTTTAGAGCAGAAGCACTGGTACAGAAGCGAGAGGCATGGTTACAGGGGGCTGATTGGTACATTTTCATGAGACCACGATTTGCGTCAAAGTTTGGCAGGGGCACCAAGATTCCAGGAACTGGGTGGTCAAGGGGGCTATGATGACCCCTTGATGTGGCCCGCCACCTGTTATTTTGTTTTTCTCTATCTTAACGGCAGTGGGTGTGTGGGCCCAAGCTGCAGCTTGTAATTTACAATAAAAAGACCCTCGTGTTTTGCAACGGAGTGGATTCCTGTAGATCTTTTGGGGGCTTGTGAACTGGGTGTAACATAGTCTCTTGCCCTCTCCTCTCTTACCCTCTTGCCCTCTCCCCTTTCTCTGTTAGGGAGCCCTCTCACTTCTCCCTATCATGTCTCATACTCTCCTTCACGCTCTTTCTCTCTTCATCTCCATCCAATAAACCTCTTTCATGTAAAATCTGCTGTGAGAATCATTTTATTTGGTCCTAACAT